ACTGGCCATGGCCAGTCCGTCATGGAGCAGAGGGGGTTGTGGGACAGGCATGGTGGTGGTTGCTTCCCCACCTTCACCCATGCCCCTCACAAGAACCCTAAGAGGCAGATAGTCACTCACTTGCTCATTCATTCAGTAGACAGTTATCGGGCACCTGAGCTGGGGATACAGAGGGCATGCGTGGTCCCTGCCCTCGCAGAGCTTAGAGTCCAGCAGAGGGGATGAGCACAAAACAGATGAGGGCAGAGAGTCCATTGCAGGAAGCACTATGCGAGTGCATGGCAGGCCTGGGGCTCCCCTGAGGAAGGGCCCTAAGGATGGCCGGAGTTGAGGTAAAGAGAAGGAACTTCCTAGGCAGAGAAGCAGCATCACTGGCCCTGTTTAACAGACGGGGAAAGTGAGGCTCAGGCGCATAAGTGAGTGAGCAGTGGAGCACAGGTCTGAACTAAGGTCTGTTCAAGTCCCCCAAGGGCAGCAGTGAAAGAAGAGGACCCCAGACAGCTGAGTGACAGCTAGTTGTTGCTTACTTCCACTTTCCACATCTGAGGAAGGGGCTCTGTCTACAGTCCCTCGAGGTGTCCCAAGTGGGGAAAGCATGGAGGCAGGTTATCTGTTGGCCTAGCAGTGGAACCTGTACCAGACTAGAGGTGAGGGTGCGGTGGGTGTGTGTTTCTGGCACAGTGAAGTTCTGTGCCCATCGCAGCAGGAGGCTGTGAGAAATCCTGCCTGTTGCCCACTGCCCACCAAGATCCTCCTCTGCTGGCAGGCACCAGAAGACCCCAGCGCACCAACCAGCTACTGGTGATGCTGGGCTGGAGTGCAGGGTACCAGTTAAGCTTTGTCCAATCCTGGGTGCTTATTACAGACCCTCCCTGCCACCCAGGCTGGGAAACTTTGCAAGGCCCCTGCCAGGAGGGGTGGGGGTGGCTGAATCATCTCACTAAGCCTCCCTCCCTCTTCCTGGGGTCCAGCCCAGCTGCCCTCCCCGTGCATGATCCCACCATCAGGCTGCACACTGGCGGGGACCTGCTGTGGTGGAGATGAGAGACAGAGGGAGAGAGTTGTCCAAGGGCAGGATTTCAATGAGACCCAGGGCTCTGACTCCACTGTTGGGAAGTTAATAGGGAAGCCCGCTCTCTCTGCTGGCTGAGGACAGCCCCGTGGGGATCACAAGCCCTCAGGCCAAGGTATCCGTGGTATCCCCTTTCCCCTCTCTGCTGCCCTCTGCTTCTCCCTTTCTCCCAAACCCTTTCTTGGAGAACCCTGACCTGCAGAGTTTGGGCTCCCTCTTCCCCGTTAAGCACAGGAGAGGGCCCGGGAAACTTGAGTTCCACACAGGTTTAGAACTGCAAGGACCCTTCGAGATGGTAGTCTGGGGCAGGAAGGCAGTGACTTGTCCAAGGTCAAGCACAGAGTGAGAGGTTGGGGAGCCAGGTCTTCTGCCGTCTGAGTGGACACCCATCCTGCACAATCACAGGCTGTCTTGCCTGGGTGGTTCCTGATCCATGTGGGGGTGTAACAAATGAGGGGCTAGTTCCCAGCAGACCAGCATCGGTTCCCCACTCCATCCTTCCCTGGTGATTCTTGATCTTTGAACACTCTTGGAGGTCCCAGGCTTCACCCATGTAACTGAGAGCCCCCACTTGTTACCCATGGGGTACCCCCAACCTTGGCCCTAGACCCCTTTGATTCTCTAAGGAGCACGAAGGGGGAACGCCCCTCCCAAGAGTTTGTGGGCGGATGGACTGGTCCAGCTGTCTCCCAGTGCTGCCCCTGACCTAACACTCCCCAGCCCTGGTGCCCACAGCCCTGGTCTGGGTGCCCTGGCCCCTCCCGCAGCGTTACTGCCTGTGTATAGTATAAATATATATATTTTCTATATATAAGATGTATAATATAAGGCTCCACAAATATACCTGTGTGCGCGGTGAAGGGCGGTCCCCATCCTGGGACCCTGCTCTAGACCCCTCAGCACCTGGTTAAGTCTCTCAAGAGTGAATCCAGTGGCCCCGTGGCACCCTCCTTTATGACATCCATCCATTTGTGGTGAACCAAGTGAAGGTGGTGACTTCTGGTGACATAGTAATAAAGTGAAGACTAAGAACCCACCATGGGTTGCAAGCGTGTCACAGTGTTTCTTTGTCCTTCGTGAAGGTGGCTTGGGATTGCCCCGTCTCCCCCAACCTGGCCCATGTTTTATTGTTTATTATTGTTTAATTTTTAATTACACAGTGAACCTATGAATCTATTCGCCTCTTAAAAAGTAAAATTATTACAGTTGAAGCCAAATTCTCCCACCTTACGAGTGGGCACATACACCACCTGTCACCATTCCCTATCCTGGTCCCTTAACCAACCCCCAGAGATGACCGAGATTAGGAGCTTGGCCTCATTCCTTCCTGACCGTTTCCGTGCTCTTATGTACACATATGTTTACAGGACACTGTTTTTAAAGTTAGTGGCCCTGAGCTGGCCACGGTATTTATCCAAGCCTATAAAGTGCCAGACACTGTGCTAGGCCCTAGGAGTTCAACACTGAATGAATAGACAGTCCCTGCTCGCCCAGAGATGGTCGTAAGTGCGGGAGATCAACATTAAATAAACATGCAAGCAAAAATATAAATTGTGATAAGGGCTGGAGTCGGGTTAGAGAGAATGTCAGATGATATTTAGTACACACCTCTGAACAGGTGACACCTAACCTGAGCTCTCTGGGATGAGCGGATGTTCAGAGCAAGGGGGTGGGCTAGTGAATTCTCAAGAGAGGAAACGGAAGGAGGAGGCGTCTGGCTGGGGAAGAGCTTGCGAGTGGGGAGAGGCAGGTGCGGTGGGTGCACAGAAGAGTCTGGAGGAGGGACAGGCCAGAGGGCGCCCCTGGGTACCACGGCGCTGGGCCGTGAGGCATCCTTAAGGGGGTTGGTTCACTCTAAGTGATGTGGAAAGCATTGGGGGTGGGGGGTCGGTGACCACACTGGTGTGTGTTTTCAAAAGACCACTCTGCTGGCCAGAGGGCAGTCCAGAGGCCGCTGCCTATTGTTGAGACAGAAGGTCACCATGATGACGACGGAGGAGTGAAAGAAGTCAAGATATAGTTGCAGGAGCCGATCAGCTGATGATGAATGGAGTAAAGACAGGTGAGGTAGATGTGACAACTGCCCCAGCTGGAAGAGGTACTTGAGCTCAGGCTGGGTGGCCTGTATGGCTGTCAGTCATGGGGCTGGCCATGCCCATGCTCCCAGGGAGGTGGGGGAGGGAAAAGATGACTAAGCCAGTCAGATTGCTTCCCTCCACAATGGGGTGGAGGGATTGGTCAGTCGGGAACGAGGCGTCTGAGTCTCAGTTCTCGTCTACACAGGTTCCAATCTCCTTTGCTTTAAGGAGGCCTGAGGCCTGCACCTTCTTGCAATCTGAAGAGCCTGAGCACCCTGGGAGGCCCGACCCTGAGGTTGCTGCCTGCCAAGAGGGAAACAGACCCCTGCTATACAGGGGGATCCCAGGTCCAAC